CAACCAGCTGGCAGGCCTGAGGGGCACAGTGGCTTGGTGACAGGGGGGTCGGCCAGGTCAGTCAAAGCCTGATCCCCAGTTACTAAGGGCAGTGGGGACCTTGGTTCAAGGTCCAACAGCAGTCTTGTTGCTGCACCTTCAACTGGTAAGGTAATTAACTTCAACTGCTTCAGTACAATACCCAGCTGAATAAAGAGGCAACGGTTTTAAAAAACACTGTAAACGGTGCAAGCCGCTTGGAACGTCTGCCAGTCTACTGAATAATCCAATATAATGCAACGACATACTCTGGGGAACTTCTTGGCTATTCTGCCTTTGATGGACACATGGCAGAGTGAGAGATCAGCAAGGTGTAAGAATACCCAGAGCATCTGGTCAAAAAGTAATTCGGCTCCATTTGGAGATGCGGCGCCAGTGAACAAATGGGCTTTAATCTGTATACAGCACCAACACATTCCAGCATTGCCTGGATGAGTGCGACTTCGGAGCTACAGCGAGGCATCGATTCATACTGACGGGTGCATGCAAAAGCACCGACTCCTTTGATCTGAGGCCACGTGCTCATGCACATCTTTGGCCATTTCTACCATCAATAATTAAACAGGATCAACATGATGCAGTATCCGCAAGTCTATGGTCTGCGGTCCTAAAACATATCAGTGTTTTTTTTTTTTACTAATATCAGTGTGTTCTGAAAAACAAATGAAAACATGACAGAGGTTCTCTCCATGTCTAAATCGTGCCACAGTACACTGTACGGCTCAGAAACGCGCTGTGCCTCCAGGAACACCTGACGGGTCACAGCAGCACGACTGCACTGGTACCATACGGTCATTAAGTCCATGATTTACACCTCCGCTCTGCATGAGGCTGGATCCTTTCTCATACGTCAGCTGGCTCCTCCTCACACACACTGGGGACTCGCGAGGTGGCATCGGCTTTCAATTTTGGACCGTGTTCTGGCATAGACACATACATATTCAAAATTATTTAAAAAAAAACAAAAAAAAACACTACACATTCCGCCTGGGGCTACTTCAGAATCCAGCGTAGAGAAGAGAGAACTATTACATGTGTAAGTGTGTGAGCGCAGTGGCCACGAATGAATTTGCAATGCGTGTGTAACACAATGGAGAGTAAGACTGTCGCACTGAAAGAAAATGCCCTGAAGCACACAGTTGCCCTGGAGAGAGCCAGGAAGAGGCAGGAAGTGGGGGAGAGTGACTCAGAGAGCCAGAGAGGAGCCGACAGCTCTCCGGAGGCCATTTTACAGGTAATTTAAAAGAAGCGTCCCAGTGGAAGGGACACAGAAAGCACCTCCTTCTGGTCCCACACACCCTTCTACCAAAGCATTTCCATAACAATGCGCTCACTCACATCCAGGGCCTGGTAATTGGCAGCACTTACAACGCAGAGTGAAAAAAGAAAGGATCGGGACAAGAATGAAACAAATCCCAAACAAGAGGAAAGCTGTCCGCAAAGTAAATCGTGGCAAGCCCTAAAAATACTGCCCTACTGAAAGCAGAAAAATTGTACTAAAATGCTGCTTTACTTTTAGGTTTTCTAACCCCAAGAATGGCAACATTTCCTACACTCTACCACTTACCCATAGAATCCCCTCCTATAACTCCTAAACTTGGGTAGTGCTCCCCCTGCCTGATGATGGTGGTACTGACAGGCTATGCAGAACAGTAACAGCTCTGCACAAAGGTTAGCACAAGGTCCTGGAAGAATCACTGGACTTAGCACAGTAGTCCAACTACCAGAATGAATTAAGACCCGGAAGACCTGGAACACTCAAGACGAGACCTAACATAGATTAACATGATTATAAAAATACGTTTTTTTTATATATTTTTTATATACGTTTTTAAGATAGATAGATTTAGGCATCCAGTAGCTCAAATATGAACAGTAACACTTAGTATCGCAGAGGTAGAGAGTAGGGGGTGTTTGTAAAAAATTCAAAAAGAAGAAAAGGGACTTTGTTTTGATGAGGCATTTTTAATTGAGGCACCATACAGGAGATCCTCAATAAATAAAATATAATTACGAAGTGTCTTGCCTCTCTCTCGTTAATGATCTATATGGGTAACATTGCTACCATTTTCATGTTTAAAAAGACCCCCTTTCACTCCTACCTTAAAAATCCTACGTTTCTTCCATCTCAAATGATAACTGCAGGCAAACATGTGTTTCGTCTTAGCTGGGAAATACATGAAATGAAAATCTACTGCCCCATGAAACCTAAGGGTGCAAGGATTGTCCAAAGACAGACCAGCCCAACGCCTCAGCAGATACCCCCCTTCCTCTTCCTCCCAGCATTAATAAAAACGATGCCCAAAAAATAAGCATCTCCTGAATATACAGGCCAGATGAGATCTCACAGGAATGCGGCATGAAACTGTATAATTTTCTCGGCTGGTGCTAAAAATTCAGCACATCATGAAAACAGTTTCCAGGTGGGAGCCAAAGAGACAATGCCCATTTACACAGGCACACAGATCTCACATCACACAAGGCACTGAATCACAGGCATTAATAGGCACCGGCCATGAATACATAGACTCTTATCATAAGCATAATAAAAATATGACTGCCGCAATAAGCAGAGATGGCAATCTGCTAGAGATCTTCATATCAAAAGTAATAACCTGAAAGGTTGCTGTTCCCTTGCTAACCTCCGTCCAATGGACGTTCTGTGGCCATTCAGTCATGGCGCAGACTGATACTGAAGGATATACAGGCACTGAGACAGACCCATTGCTCTCTCACTGACCTGATCGCATTAATCACGTACAAACAAGGTGGATTTAACTACCTGGCAGACAGACTGGTGTCATACGGAGCCCTCACCCTCGACTGTGTGGGCAATTCCCTTAATTGTCCAAATCATTGGCTGCAATGTGTGCCCGCCACTGTGTGTGGAATTCTCGCATTTACCTAAAACAAACAGCCAAGCTACGTCTCGCCGAACAAGGAATCACCACAGCTATTCCCAGACGGCGTGAGCGACAGCAAAGGAGCGCGCCCCAAAACCTCCTGCCTGGCGCTAGGTGTAATTAAAGAGAGGCTAACAAATCATCTCTTAAGCTGAAATGTTCATACCCTTCTCTGTCATTTCCAGTCTCTGACGTTCTGCCTTACTTGTACTTAGAGGTTTTGAAAGGACACCTATTGTTAATTCCAACACCTCCCACATGAGAGTGAGCTTTTATTTTGGATCCTGGCTTCCCCCCTCCCTCCCATCAGTATTGAAATGCGGGGAGGCTATGATGTGTGGATGACAAATTACTTGTAAACTTGCATTACCGTCTGTGGGGGGGGGAGGAAAATTATTCCCCCCCTCACTGTCCTTTTGATTCTTGTTTCGGAAAATGACTAATCGTTAGGATTTGGGGACGCACCGCTTGCCAAGATTTAATTTAGGTGGGCAAATGGAGGTGTGGGAGGAAGGGGGGGTGCATTTGGTACGGGGAGGGGAGAGAGAGAAATCTGGTCGGTGAGACCGAGAACGATCAGCGTGCTGCACCATGGGACAAGGAGATAAAAGTGCCATGCTGAGTGCTGGTTATTACACTGGTCTGTGAAGGGATGGAGGGATGAAGGGATGAAGGGAGGGAAGGAGGGAGGGAGGGAGCAGCAGCGGCGGCGGGTGCGAGCGGGCCTCACTCCCGGGTTCCAGCTGATTCAGCTGAGATGCACATCAAAACGGAACAGCCCGAGGCTGCGCGGGCTGCGGTCCATAAATCCAGCTCGTTCGTGAAAAGAAATCACCATGGAGACCAGATTTTAGCAGCTCCATCCCACTGTTCCTGATGGAGATTGGGGGGAGGCATTGCACTTCCTGAGCCAACGGCATGTGGGGCGGTACAACCAGACAGGCTGACAGACAGACAGACAGACAGACAAAGACAAGCGGGTGGACAGAAAGACAGGCTGACAGGTAGGATGGAAATGACAAGCTGCAAGACAGACAGACAGACAGACAGGATGAAAGCCAGAATGGAAATGAGCAGACAGATAGACAGACAGGGTGGAAATAACGAGCAGGCAGACAGACAGACAGGCAGGTGGGATGTAAGTAGGATGGAAATGACGAGCTGGCGGACAGACAGACAGACAGGCAGGATGGAAATGACGAGCTGGCAGACAGACAGGCAGGATGGCATGGAAGTGGAAACCACATGTCAAACTGGAATTCAAATCCATGGATCCAAAGTCCTTTGGGCAAAACACCACAGCTGGTCTCAAGTGCGGAAAATGCTTTATTAGGTTAGCATAATGCACTCCCATGCAGCAGCCATCACTGAATCCTGTCAAATTTGGGTAAATTAATACTAGATGGGTTTAATCTATGCCGAGTGCTCAGCTACAGGGCACAGCGGGAGGGAAGGCTTAGACAAAAAGCACGCAGAGAGCAAACGAGTATTAATGACTCTTCCAACCTGAAGTGCATCATTACTGATGTGACTAAACATACTGGAACATCACCTATGTGAGAGAAAGTCTTGGGCCTCACCCTGGAAGCAAAGTATGTTCATAAGGACACTTCTGATTTAAACACACGGATGCACACAAAATTTCAATGGTCAGTTTAAAATGCTTCCTGTCGCTGTGTCAAACGCATCAGAACATAACGCTCAAGGTGAGTTTTTCTCTACTCGGAAAAGAAGAATGATTGTTTCATTAATGAATACTCTGGTCCTGAAAAAAACGCAGGATACTGCCTGCAGCCCCTAAGTAGTCAAGAGTCTGCAATAACTTAAACTGCTCTTTCCAATGACAGAATCATCCCCTTACAGCCACAATTATTGGAAAGGTTCCAGAATATTGGTGACAACCTGGAGAACTAAAGCTGTGAAATGCTGCACAGATCCCAAATCATACATCAAGTTCTTATGGGAGGTTAGACTCGTGGTATCACTGCACAAAACACCCACTCGCTACATTTGTGATGACTAGAAGGCCTTGGAGAGCTCTGTGGGAAAAACACTCACCAGGGGGAGCCATAGATGCGGAAGCCCCTCACAGTCACCTCCGAGTCCTGCAGGTAGATGCAGTTGGTCAGCAGGGACTGGACGTTCTCATAATTCTCTGGCTTCAGCTTAGACGCGGACGGGAAGTAGTAGAAGTCCTGCTTGATGAGGTCCGCCATGAACTCCTGGTCAAAGGTCAGCTCGTGGTTGCCCGCGATGACGATTTTTATCTCATAGGGCAGGGTGCCTGGAAGAGAAGCGACAGACGTTAACCAAGAGCAGGAAAAACCCATCAGTGGTGTTTTACGGGACAGTGTTTGGAAAGGCCGACACCAGCACAAACAGCAGCCATGTCACAGGGGGCTGCTGTTCATGACATTTCAGTATGACCATCCATCTTCCAACCCCTTATCTGGGGGGGGGGGGGGGGTTGTCTCGTAATGGCAAACATAGAGCACATACACAAACTCTGTCACACACAGGCAACCATACGATATCGACAACTGAGCCAATTAGCCCAATTGCATGTCTTTGGACTGTAGGAGGACACCTGCATGATGCGAAGAGAACATGCAAACGAGAGAGAGAGAGAGAGAGAGAGAGAGAGATTTTCCTTTTATTCACACTGACGACAGTTTATGAACAATGCCTCTACATTAAGTCTCTCAATTTTTTTTTACATATATACACAACTATTAGGGAAAAGTAGCATGTTGCTAATGTGAAGTATGTCGCAATCCACACATACAAAGTTCCAGTGCCTTTTACGCTTAACGCCTAATCCTTTGAAAGCGGCACAACTTCTAAACTGGATCTAACTGCTGTGGTGACAGGAACGAAAGAGTAGTGTCAGATAAAAAATGCTCATTAAGCGGTACGTTCACCAATTACTTGAATGGTAAGACGACAGGGTGTGGGGGTAGCTTAATCACTCCAGCCTTTAACAATTGTTTGAAGAGAAGGGAAAAGTAGCTGAAAAGCAGCAATTAGACATAGTTGTGGGGAGGGCTACTGCTGAGCTCGACAGCAGGGGGCTGGCTCTGTCATAACGGCGAACCACAACGCGGTGACGTCGTACATAAGGCCCGATATGCTGCACATGCCACGTCTGAGCACCGCTCTGACAGTGCCCTGTTTTCCCGACCGCGCCGCATATCGGAACCGCGAAATATGAGGCTCCCTCGGTTAAATAAAACCAGAAGGGCACGGCGGGGCTGAATAATCACTCTTATTGTATGAGCACCTATTACTTCACTTCAGACTGGCGTTTTACTCGCACTCTTTTCATATACGAAACACGCTAAGACAGTGAAGGAGCACTGCATGCCCCATCAGTGGCATTAAGGCTTTGAAACAAAACTGCCAGTCCTACCCAGTCAGATGGACGGATGCAGAAAAATGCCAGGCTTTTGTAATATTTTCCACCCCCTCTGCTAATTTCATACCTGTCACTAAATACATATTCAGCTCCTTTAGGAGTAACTCTAGCAAGGTACATTTTCAGAATGGCTTTAACACAGTGGGCTGTGGTCAGGTGACAGGACAGAACCCGATAAAAATGCCTCCAGAACATTCCAAACTGACGCAAGCAGAAGTTCAGACAAATAACACAAAAGAGAATGTGAAACCGCACACTGTTGTGGTCTATAGACCAAGGAAGTCAAGAAAATAAATAAAACAAGAGTCCCGTAAAGAGTCCATAGGCCATTAGCACTACAGAATGTGGCAAACGAACATCCAGAGTATTGGAGCCACAGCAGACAGCAGATCGGCATCTTGGCCAAACGGAACCGCAGCCAAAGGGACAGAAGCGCAGGCCGTGTAACACAGCCCCAGGCCAGGGGACGGGCTGGTCGCAGCTAAGCGGCTCCAGACCCCGACGGCTACGGAGGACGCGACAACTGCGGGGACGGGTCATGTGACGATGGCAGAGAGCAGGTGCCGCTGGCAGCATCACGAAACAGCCTGCCATCCCAGGGGGGAGGGAGAGAGGGGGGAGGAAGAGAAGGAGGGAGGAAGGGAAAGAAGGGGAAAAGGGGAGAATGCGCAACAAAGAGAAGAGATTTTCACTTCTCTTTGAACAAAAGTGAAAGGCCAAACAGATGGAGTGAACACAAAGCAGCAGTGGTTAGGAGTAGTGGAGAGAGGCCGGGTCATAAAATAATAAATAATAATAATAATAATAATAAGTTTCATAGAACACTATACATAGATTAAGCGGAACCTTCCCCTTCATGCCAGTGCGTGGTTATCTGGGTTGACTGAAGCAGAGCTGAGGAGATTTGGACAGAACGGGAGATACGGACTCGATGACAGAGCAGAGCAGAGCAATCTCCTTTCTGAACAGAACTCCCCTCTCTCCGCCCCTCTCACATTCCGAGTTGGGAAACAGAGGCGCTTTCATGCCTCCGTCGGAGGCCGGAGGCTTCCCGCAAGACATACGGGGTGGATGACGATGAGGAAGACCCCATACAGCAGCCTGCCATAACAGAGGAGCCCGGGGACAAAGTGCCACGGTCAAGACGGAGATGTGGGAGCTCTTAATAATCGCAGAGTAGTGCGGGGCGGGGCACGGCTGCAGTGCACCTCCATCTCAGTCTCCAGGATCTCATTTACAAAGTAGCATCAGAAGGCATCTACACTCCTGTCTCTATCCCAACGAGTGACATACGGCGGTTCTACTGAACCACAGCGAGAGAAACATCCGCTGATCAAAAAGCAGACGGGTACACATAAGGAAATGGAAAAGATTAAAAGGCTGAAAGAATATAGTTATGAAAGAAATATGGGTCTTTTACAGTACCATTTTAATGATAATGAGCAGTTATTTGGTGTATGACAGTATAAGTGTTTTATTATGTGTGATTACATATAATTCCATTAATGTTTCAAATTTATTTAGATTTTTCTATGACGAAAAACCTATGGCCTTTCAAAGGATCATAATTAAAGAGCAGAATGGCTTTTCACAATTAAGTAATTCTTTTGAGAATACAAAGCAAAACAAAAATAAAAGTAGTTAGCCACAATCAATCATATGCACGCAAAGATAAAGAAAACTAGTCAAAATGAGGCTTTTGTGCAAGAAAGGAAGCCCCCCCCCACCCACCATAGCTCAAAGACTAATCTGGACTTGTGAGTGGCTGTGTGTTGCCTGTTGTCATTAGCTACCATCTCTTCCAGCCTTTTGTCTTTCATCTCAAAAGCTGCTTTCATGCAACAAATAGTTTTAAATTTCAGCCTGAATCGCTCCACAATATCACGGCCGGTTCCATTTTTCCAGCTCAGAAGAAGCTAATCAAATAAAGCCCAGGCGTGTGCAAAAAAGCACAGCAGACGGCGGGAGCGAGCTGGATAGTATGACCGTCAATCACTGCTGCTGCGGCTACGGATGAAGATTTGAAGATGCATTTAAGAGTGAGCGCACGCCTCCTCCCTGCTCTCTGTGCCGACACCACACACCCTGTTTTATTCCTCCTGATCCCTTGTGCCGGAACGCAAATTTAAATGCCCGTGATTTACCACGATAGCCAAAGATGCACGATAGCATTTTGCTGCAGTTACGGCGAGTCTGACGAGTTCTTGTGGAACTGCATTCTGAATGCTCGTAACTTTAGCAGGCGAACACCCAGTGTGGATTCATAAATCTCTCCTCACAAGGGCCTCTGCTCATATTTGACTCACTTCTGCTGGCATATTGTCAATTTAAACAAAGTCGTGTCCGAAGGAATTTGGTACAAAAAGGCCAGGTGGTTTAGTTGTACGATGTCTGTTTGTGTTAATAAAGGTTAGTGAGAGCAAAGTATAATCCACAAAATAAATGACATTTTTTCTGAATTCATTTCAACTATAGCAGTTAGAGGTAGAAGGATGAATTGAGAGAGACATGGGCAGAGAACCCAGTCTGAGACTCTGGCTTAAAACCTCATCTGCTGGAAGAGATCACAAACGGACACAGACAAAGACAGAGAAAGAGGCCAAAATCCAGAGTTTAATCCTGGTTTAACTCTCAACTGGGATGCTAACTAACAACAGTAGAGTATACAAAGGACTGTTGTATTAAATGACCCAGGTCTCCAGCTAACAGTCATAAGGCCCCACGGGAGTTAACATGATCACCACAAGCTCATTAAACTGAACGATGATTGAACGTAGAAGGGTTTTCAGCAAGAAGGATCCACTGAAACCTTCTGATGCTCTTGGCACCACTCTCTCCCATGAACGCTCGGGTGATTCCAGCTGTTTGAAAGGGGACAATCCTCCCGCAAGTGGCTGCTCACTGAAGGAGATTAGCGGTGTGACAAGGGACCCCTCTTTTCAGCAAAACTTGGATCAACAACAGTCAGCAGTCGGCACAAGAGTTGTGCTGAATTAGTGTGAATGGAAGGGTGAGAAAACCAACCAAAAGGACAACTTCAGTGGTGCTTGAAAACCCAAATTGGACCAGATTGACATGTACTGATAACTAGGTCTATTTTACACTACACATGGTGCATTAAATAATTGTACAGACACTGCACAATAGTAAAGGAACTAAACTTAACTATGAGACTGCAGGATCAAATCACTGGAGAGTCTGTGTCAATGGAATAGGACCAGAGGGTCGGCAAGGAGGATGTAATGTGATACTAGAGATTACACAAGTCATCTGGACAGCGATGTAGGGAAAACAAACAAATCTTAAAGGGGAGGGGGGGGGGGGGCAAAACAATCTGCCAAAGCGGCAATGAGGCGTCACTCATTTTAAAATACTCAGAGGAAGATAAGGCTGCACAGAGATGAAAAACGGGCCAAATGACTGATTACGTTCCATCGATCGCAGAGGGCTTTCCGCTCCTGTTAATCTCTCCCACCTGAGACGGACTCACACGACGAGAGACTGGCGCTTAAAATACCAGCAGGCTCCACTCATCCCCTTTAAATGCCACCCACATGCCCAAAGCATAAGGCTCGGCATGGATCTGCAGAGGGCCAGAACATCTATAACGTTAAGAGTAACGGAGTGCGATTCTGCCAGTGTAGGTGGTCTCTCCTCTCCCTGCAGTCGACGAACCGGAGTTTGTAGAAAACAGAGACTATGGCAGTCTAGCTGTTCACCATCACTTGTCATTGCAGAGTTGCCATCATAGAAGCGGGATGACTAGAATGACTGCATTCAGTGGGGGGAGGGAAAAAAAAACGGACAACAGACACGAATGCAGCGTAGTCATAAGCCATTCACACAATCAGTATTTCCATATGCACTAT